GCTCTGGGAGCATTCTCTTGGCACCCAGTTTGTAAGGATTGATGGGATCTCCTCTCAGCCTTCCCTTCTCCAGGATAACCAGCCCAGCTCCCGCAGCTTCCCCTCACCAGGGAGATGCTGCAGACCCCAAACCATCTTTGTTTTTGTGGGCAGTTCACACAAACACGAGCACTGGGGGCTGATGTAACTCCAGGTTTCTCACAGTTCATGGCAAAAGCCTTTCAGCTCCATTTTCTCAAGTGATAATGAGAGAACAAAGCATTTATGATTGAAGCCATGGCAGAGTGATGCACCAGGATTGGTTCAAATGCACACAGAACACAGCAGCTGCTTCCTGAGCTCGTGTCAGCCCACAGCAGAACACACATTTCACTCACCCCAGCCCAGCCCAGGGTCTCTCACAATCACAGAACACTTGAACTGGATTTCTTGAGGTGTTTGAAAGCACCAGCACACGGATCAGCGTGCAGCAGACAGCTCAAACCATTTGTTAACTTGAACTCAAATTTAATTAGGCACAGCAGTTCCTATCAAAAGCAAAAGCAGGTTACTTCTCAAACTGTGAGAAGTAAATATTTCACTTAAGCAACTGTGGTGACAGCTTTCTTTTAGTACTTTAGTCATGAAGTTGATGCAAATCACAGTTGCTTTCCTATAGAGCAGAGGGGTCTGGAACACTGGGAAAACAGCATTGTGGGCAAGCACAAAACCCAGTTCCTTACCCATAAAGGAAATTTCTGAGTTCATTCCACAAGACCACAAGTGTTTTCTTCACTAATGCACACGAGGAACATTATTTTCCTCTCACTGCAGGGAAGTGTCACTTTGAACTGGAGTCTCCGTCCCTGAAATTTAGGACATTTCCTCAAGGTTTCCTTCCAACTCCTTCCCCTCCCCCTGTTTTTCTTGCTTTTTTCCTCTCTTTCCCTGTTGTGCTCTATTTTGTGTCATTTAGACCATATATTTTGATGGAGGGCATCCTTCTCCTCTGAATTTATGAATCAAAATGTATTCTCCAATGGATACCTGGAGGTATAATTTGCCCCCTAACACTCTTCAATCTTTATTACTGACACATTCAAGGATGCCTAACTCCCACAAGAAGAGAAAAAAAAACAACCCACATTAATCTTCAAAAATGTGTCCTTACCTGCCTTGTGAAAATGAAAATGGATGTTCTTTGAGAAATTACCTGAGTTTTGCTTTAAACCCCCAGGACCGTGCGCTTCTGGAAACAATTTTGAATCTAAAAAATTTATAAATAAAAAAATCTGCTGGTGTATAAATACAAATCCTTCTCTGTGCCTTTTCCTTGGAGGGAGGAAGCATTCCCTCAGCATCCTGCAGGATGGGGTCTGGGGGGCTCCTGCACACCCTTTTTGTGCAGAAGGACAGAAGGACTTTTATTAGGGGATACTCAAATATGGAAACAGCTCCAAAGCAACTCCATCACCCATCCCTGCCCCATCATACATCCAGGCAGTTTCTAACAGGAAGAATTCCCATCTCTGAACTCCCTATTTAGCAACAAACTTAATAAATGAAAATTTGAGGACTTGTAGGAATTTTTAAAAATTCTCTTCACATTGAGCTGGTCCTTCATAGCTAAGATGCACAGTTGAGGTTGACCAGAAACAAATAAATTCCTTCTCCTTTTAAATAACTTTTTATTTTTCCCCTGATAATACGTTAAAAATAAAATTATTTTTTTCATTTTTGTCTCTTAATATTGTTAATATAGATCTTTACTAATGCAAACTAAGAATTGCCCATCTATATGATTTGATTTAAAAACTGAGCTCTCTAGATGTCCAAATTTTATTTCATTTTAATGTAAATGCCTCAAAATGTAATTTTGATTCTTTGCTCTGGAACGAGAATTTCTAGGCTATGCCATAGCTCCATTTCTGAAAATGCTGAAGCATGGAGAAACAATTTGGACTATCCAGGGTGGGCAAAACCTGGCAGATGTTTCCATGTCCACATCTCAGTCTCCCCCACTGGGCAAAACCTCCAGTCTCCTGTTCCCTCTGATGCACAAATATGAAATAAATCTTAAACTTAAAATGGGAAAAAAAAAACCAACAAAAAAGAACAAAACCACCCCTCAAGCAATTTATATTCGGCTAATTTGTCTTAAATGCAGTGAAGAGTTTCCCAAAAGCATCAAGGACCAAGCAGGGGTGAATGTTACAGAGATGGAAAATAGGAGTAATTTTAGTCAGTGTTCTAACATGCTTTGAAAGAGTTCATATAAACCTCTGGTGCATAATCACATTAATGATGAAAAATAGTTTTTTCCATGTCCTTCCTAGAGAATTTTTTACTTTCATTCAGCTCCTTAATTGGTGTCTAGGGCTGCTACAGTTGTAAAGAGCACACCTACAATGACAGCAGCTGTTGACCCTGTTAAAGGTTTCAGTAAAACCTAGGAGAAGCTGCAGGTTGAACTGGAAACCATGGATAATCAGATTCACCAGGACCAGGAGATTTTGCAGTGTCTGGGCTGTGAAATTCCCCAGCACAATCTCACTTTTCTCCAGCCCTATGCAGAGGCTGTGTGTCCCTCCATGAGCTGCACCTGCAAACGCTGCTGGCTCAAATTCCAATCATCCCACAGCATCAGCTGAGCTGCTCTCAGCATCCAATCTCTTCTCCAAGCAGTGGAAAAGCTGATGGGAGGGTTTGCTGCTCCACTGTGTGCCTACTACAGCACCTTGTCCTCTGAGGTGCCAAGGAAAGCGAGATAAGGATTGCTGAGATAAAACCACTCCTGACTCAGATTCTCCTTCATGAGGATTTGGTCCTCAGCCTCCAGCTTGTGGTTCACACCTTCTAGCAAGGCTTTCAGGGGAAAGAATTCTTCCTCCCAATTCTTCCTCCCATGTTCCTACAACACATTTCGTGTGAGATTGTGACAAGGGGCCAAAACATTTAGGATTTGCTCAGGCTCCCAATAAAAAGGCATTAATATCAGCAGTTATCTGCACATGGTTTTCCCTCCAGCCCAACACCTTTCCAGAAAGCCACTCTTTCAGCCTGCAGATGTGCAGACACTTTATTCCCCCAGCAGGAATCCAGTCAGACATTTCTTCCTCCCAAACTACTCAGACATTTCCTCCTCCACGTTTTACTCCCCTCTGTCCCCACCTCACACAGACAATTTTTTATAATAACTCAATTTCATAGGCCACACAAAACTACATAAGAGTTATTTATATAACATCAATATTAAGTTGGTACCCAGATTTTTTTTTTTCAGAATAAAACCTTGAGGCTGCTTGTCTCTAAAAGCTGCAATTATGGTTAAAAATAGAAGTAATTCATTTGACCATGAATGGCAACTCCACAGACCTGAAAATGGAGGCCTGACCACCAGTTTCTGCTCAAGACATATGGGCAGGAAGGGGAAGAGGCTGAACCCACAAAGATGAGTGTGGAAAAATAAACATCCTTTTTCCCAAAGCCTTTCCTCTGACAAGACAAAGTGAAACTGGATTTTAACTGCAGACAATACTTAATTTTAGTGTTCAAATTGTACACAGCAACATGTTTTGGTTCCTAAACCACTCAGATTTGGAACAACAAAAATTACTCTGGAATTTCAACAGGTCCCAGCTTGTCATGTCACCTTCAAAGTAAAGGTATGGAATTGGTGATTATTAAAAATCATGAGGAATTCAGCTCCTGCTCCCAGGTGCATGGAGACAGCATCATTATTTCACAAATCACCAGTGACCTTTGGAAGGCACTGGGAAAAGCAGCCATGTTCATTCCTTTCCATTGATTTTCTAATTTTGAGTAAATTGGTTTAATCTGGGGAATGGTTATCTATGAGGAATAAAAATACTTAAAACTGTCTTTAGAAAACAGTAAAAAGCTGAACTGTTTGAACTGAAACAATGAATTTGGAAAGGAAACTTGAGGGGAGAAAAGGTAGGGATTTTGTAAACTTTAATTTTGGCACCATTCTGTGGCCAGGCACCCAAATATGAATAAAATCAGAATCTCTTAAACTTAAAAACACAGACATTCAGGCCCAGACATTAGTTTCACTCCACTATGTTCCTGGTATCTGTGACTGATTTACCTGTGAATATTTGCTGCTGGAAAAGCCTGTAGAAAGAAATTACCCACCTAGAAAGGGAAGTGCATTATCTGGTAACATGAAAAATAATGGGCTGAATATTGGGAACATTGGACAATCCTGAGTCCAATCAACTTAGAAGACAAGCTCAGTGACTCAGCACACACCTGAAACACCCTGCAAGAACAGAATTTGGATGTCTCCAGGAATCTAAGAGCACTCAGGGCTACTTCATGAAAGGAAATTGTGATTTATAGAGTAACTCTTTCTGGTGCCAAGATTTTATACATTCCGGTACCTAAACCTTTGGATTAACAGATTGCCTCTACTTTATTATCTTCTGAACATGAAATGATCATACCTAAGCTTTCTTTGCCATCAATTTATGCTCTCATAATGTTAATGATCTGTTATAAGCATAGATTTTGGCACTGTGGCAATTCACCTTAAAGCCATCTGAGGATTACCTGTTCCTTCCCTACCCCTTTTTGCATTTTCTTTTTTTGGCTATGGGGTACCAAGTGAATTAGTTCATTAAGTCCACTCGTAAAAATATTCTAGGGAAGATATAGAGCACTAAACTAATACTCTCAGAATGAGCTATATGCACAGTTAGCTCTGGGTGGCAATTACTAACTCTAAGTTGAAGTCCAGTTAATCCTGAGCTCTTTCTCACTACACAACACTAAATGTCTCGCACAGAAATCATGAACTACTAGATTTATAAATCTGATCAGAGATTAGAAATTCTCAAGTCCGAGTAAGAAATAAACAAAATTCTTAAAAGACTCCGTAAAAGCGAGCATCTGAATCCCCACACAACAACACCCAGAGCCTCTTCTCACACCCCAGAAGAAGATTAGACACACAACCATGAAAATGTCAAACTGGAAATAGGGAAGTTCTCACTCACCTCTCGGTCCAGCAGCGCAGGGGACACCACGGTGACGATGTCTCCCTTCTCAGGGTCGATGTAGAACATGTTTGGGGAGGGTTTGGTGGGGGTCTGCCTGAGGATGTTGTAGCGCAGCAGGGCGTTGTCCGTGCCGGCGTCGTCGGCGTCGAACGCCGCCATGCGCATCACCGTGGTTCCTGGGGAGAGGGCACAGGCAGCAGCACTGAGCAAAAACCCTCGCAAACACTGAGGGTATTTAGCTTGCATTCTTGTTCATATCATCTTTACTTTTGTTTGTTTGTTTGTTTAACTGGGCTGGAAGAGACCTTCAAGATCATTGAGTCCAACCCAGCTCCAACGCCTCAACTGAACCCTGGCACCCAGTGCACATCCAGCCTTTTTAGAAAGGTCATTCCAGTACTTTGGGCCTCTTTCCATGAAAAGCTTTTTCCTAATACCCAACCTATATTTCCCCTTGTGTGCTCTGGTTCTGTCAGTGCTGCCTGGAGAAAGAGACCAACCCCACCTGAGCACAGACACCTTTCAGGAGTTGTAGGGAGTGAGTACTTGTTACTCATCCAACAGAAGATTTATGTGCTCTAACACAAATTCCCTGTGTCTCTGGGCTTTGAAGCCATCCATAGTAATTGCATTTCACTAAATTAATTACAAGTGTATCACTTCCACTTTTAATTCTGCAGGCAGAAAATCCACAGGTGGCTACAATGCAAACAACAATACTGAAATAACAGGTCTCTATTTGCATGGCGAAGTGTTGCAGTTCAAAATGTGTTGGATGTCATTTCTTTCAATAAGAAATGTTGTAATTATTAAAGCCTGCATTGTTCCAATTTCAATTTGTACAAATTTGTGAGCTTATTTTATGAACATCAATAAGCCCTCATCTCTATTGCCCCACTGTCCTTCCAGTGCTGAAGGTTTCTCTGCCAGGAAATTCCCTGAGCACAAAGTTCTGCTGCAGAGTGCAATAAGGGAAATGCAATTCCCTGCACAGATTCCTAAATGCTGTGCAGAGGAAAAACCTCACTTTGTTTCTTGATCACAGTTAATAGAGCACTGAGCTGCTGCCAGTCCTGTGCTGAGGAAGGGAGCACATCCTGCATCCCTGGATCAAGGATTTTCCTCTCCCCAAGACAGGCAGCCCAGAGCAAAATTCTGTCAGCATTTTATCAGCTTTGTACAGTACACTGAGAAAAAAAGAAAGGGTGTAATGAGACACCTGGGCTCAACTGTGAGATGCTCACCCCTAGACCAAAGTGATTTCTTCATCAGTTCATCTATAATTGTAAATGTAAGCATTAGTTTAAAAAGCAATCTAACTAAATAATATATGATCACAGCAAGATTAAATATTTCTGGTAATATTGAGCTGAAGACAGAATGAGATTCTACCAAATACCAAAAAAACCATGATCAAATCAATAAATTCATTTCAATAGTGAATCAATGGTAAGTAACAGATTCATGTGAGATATTAGCAAACCATAAAGTAAGAAACCTAGGAAGGGATCCAGTCTTTGGCCCAAAAATCCCAGCTGTAACAATTTATCAGATTCTATGATCTACACCACTTCCATTGAAGTAACATTGCAGTGACACCATTATCTCCTGTGCGAATCAGTATCAGAGTGAGCCAGAATTCCTTGTTACAGGTTAATTCCTCTGTGGGAACTCTTTCTTTTCCCCACAGATTGGGCAAGTATTATTTTAAACTATCATGGTCAACACATTTTAAATACAGCATTTAAATATATAATTTAAATATATAAATTTAATATACACATTATATTATGCATAAAATATATCTAATATATATTATATGTATGAATTAAATATATAAAGTTAAATACAGCATTTTCATTTCTTCATAGATCTGTAAGACCATAGGATCACGTTTCAGTATTCACAGAGAGTTCTGTGGCAAAATGACTACAAGAGGGTAAATCCTGATGCAGACAGGGCCTGACACATTAGATTGCAAGTGCCTCAGTAACAGAAATATGTATCATTCATGTACAGTGAGTTTGTTTTCTTTCTGAAGGTCTTGGATTTAAAAAAATCAAATAAAAATGAAATATTGTGGTAAAAATAAAAACAAGCCCAGTCTCAGTTATAGACTGATATAACAACTGCCTGCTCACTGTTAAACAAACTCAACTGCCTTGTTTAGATACATTTCTCCTTTTCTTTTTTTCCCCTTTTGTGGTAGTTCCCAGAGTACAGAGTGTTGCCTCTTCTTGTAGTGACCTTGAATATCAGCTCTCAAAGGTTTTATTTTATTGCTACTTCGGGCAGAGTTACCCCCTTGAGAAAAATAGCAGAGACCTGACAGCATGTTGGTTTTATTCAGCAGTGATTAAAGGTCAGACAGCTCAAAAAGAAGCTTACCACTGGATACCAGGCCATGTTTTCCAGTGTTACAAGATGATCCCAGCCCTGATATTTTCCTGATATTTTCACCTACTTTGTGTGAGACTGATTGAGAAGAAAAGAGAGAAAAAGAACTGCTTTCTTTTTTGAAGAATTAAGATTCACCCAATGCACTGTTTTTAGAAATTTAGCACATTTTTGAGATTTTTTTTTATATCAATGTTAGATAACATGTTCCACAAGGGTCTCTAAATCACAAGGTTTCAGTGAAATAAATAAGGACTAAGGCAAATCTTCAAGGGATCTTTAAGAGTCCCCAAGTTCATGTGAAATTAAATGGATTTCAGTACACAGTGGTTTCCTGAAGAATGCACTCAAGTACAGTAGAAAACATCTTGAAAGAATACAAGGTTGCTATTGTTATAAATCTATTAGATGAGTTGATGCTCAGCAGAGATTTAGAAACTTATTACAATATATATTCAACTAAAAATCCCATTGATACAGTTGTCCTACTGAAATATTTCTGATGATAAAACAGTGGAAGGCACATGTAAATTTTAAGATCTGATGCAAATCCCCCAATCTCTCATTATCTGGCATAGGACTGGCTTAACACAATGGCTGAGTCTGACTCTGATTTGCCAGCTGCAGTTCTTTAACCTTTCAACTCACCAGACATTATCTTGTTCCCTGCAATCATTCCTTTGGTGCATACAGATAAGAATTCCAGCAACTCAGATGAGCAGAATTTTACATCCATTTTGCATAGAGATGCATTTTCCAGGAGGAAAGCTGGAGAGAATTAGATACATCTTTTTTCTATAATTCTCTCCAAAGTTTTGGAGAGAAGTGGAATTGGAGAGAAGTGGAATTGATTCATGGATACCATCAAAGTGGCATTTAAATCTAATTTTAAAGTTATTCTATTCTCACAAGTTCTCATTATGTGTAAAAAATGCACATAAAATGTGGGGTTGTCTTTAGATGTTGTTATGTATTAGTAGAGGTTGCGATTGGTTTTTGTTTGGGGATCAATACAGAAAACTTCACGCCCATGTGCTTCATATTTGTGGCTGATGCCTCAAAAATCACAAGAGCTTTAATCCAGCAGTTAAAACATTCACCTGGAACACTTTGGAAAAGCCCAATAGCTACAATTCCAGGGGAGAAATTCCCTATCCTAATCGAGGTGTCCACAGAGAGAACAAACAAACAAATGGCAAATTGGGATTGGACCACCAGAAAAAATAATGTTTATATAGAGATCCTGAAAGTGTAATGGCCCAAATGTGTGTTTTGAAAGGCTTTACCACAGGCATCCAGTCCAAAAGAGCTTCATTCAAGATGTACTCTTCTTGAGTATTCCTCCCTCATCATAAACTTTTGTTCTTCATAAAAGATTCATTTCCCCAGGCCCATAAACTGACTACACCTAATTCAGTGTCATTTTACAAACACTTCCATTCCTGGCATCAATCAAATGCAGCTGCCTTTCAAACCACAAAACAACAGCTTGCTACATTATCATGTTAAACAACATATATAAACTGATCAGGCTGGGGAAGGGATGTCTGCAAAATCAGCAGCTTCTTCCTCGTGCCAATGACACACAGAGATCCATGGAGGAAACTCTCGGGAAAGCTGAATTTGAGTCCTGGTGTGTCTCAATATTCAGGGTTTGTCTGTCACACTTGTGTCCTGGTGTGTCTCAATATTCAGGGTTTGTCTGTCATACTTGCTGGGCAGAATCACTCAGAAATCCCAGAATCACTCAGAAATCCCAGAATCACTCAGAAATCCCAGAACCACTCAGAACCTCCCATTGCACCTCCCAGAGTTCCTCCTTGCTCACACCCAGGTCCCACTCCCAGGCCATTGCTCCAGAGGCTGCAGCCATCAATCTGTTGGTTCTTTGAAAATATTGGCAAAATCTCTCCTTAGGCACCAAGAAGTAAAATCTAACAGATACATGGTTTTGGAGTGGTTGGAACAGAGAGTTTCTTGGGAAAATTTCTTTGGTATTTTGTTAATAACCTCTTATAACCTATCCCACTCTCTTTTCTCTTTTCTTTTCTTTCCTTTTCTCTTCTTTTCTCTGCCAAGATGCCAAGAGAACGTTACTACTGAACTTTTATTTATTTACTTATATTTTATAAGTTTAATAATTTTTTATTTATTTATTGATATGCAGCTGCTGGGTTTAAAAGGAGGACTGGAGAGGAATGGAAATGAGGCTTATCTTGAGCCTGGTGAAATGTGAACCAATGTCTCAAGCCTACAGCCTCAAGAGAAGACTGAATCTACAGAGCTCAAAGACTTCACCATGGAGTTGTCCCAGCTGACTTTCATTCTTTCTGTGGCTCTCCACTGTATATTCAGTACATTAAATGTTTTTTACATGTGTTACAGAAAGGGAAGGGTTCGTTCTCCTAGTTAAATAACTGCCCTGAAAAGTTGTGTTTTCCACCTTCTCCACAAGTTCAGCTGTGTCTCTGTACGTGATAACAATCAGTTGCACAATGTTACATTTTCCAGAAGTACAGCTATTTTAACCCAAGAAGGAGGACAAGAGTAAATTTTAACCCAAGAGTAAAATATGGGAGGGAGAAGGAAGAAATCAAGAGGGTTACTTACATCTCTAGAGCCCAACTTTCAGAAACTGGAACAAAGCAGGAAGACCTCCTGACAATGTTCTCATCATAACTAATTACATGTTTGATTATCATTTTGCACTTTCAGACAAAAAGCCCCAGGGGAGCAAAACAAATATAAGAAAAAAGGTGTATTTTGGTTCCAGTCAAGG